TATATATATATATATATTCGGATGTTGGTGTACTTTGGTGACAGATTTTCACAATTCACACAACATTCAGCCTTGATAATGGATGCAGAATGCATTCGAAACGCGTCGGCCAACTCATCACTAGCTACAACTTTTACCCGTTGTTTTAACAACGTTAAGACGGCTTATCGACTTCTTGAGAAGAATTCTAAGAAGAAAGTAAACCTACAGACATCGGTCTTGTTTAACAAAATCTGCCTAAATATATATATGTGTGTGTGTATATCAGTTATGCAATTAACAAAGGCTAACGTTACAAGCTGCTGTTAATAAGGAATCAGTTTCTGTATTACTGCTTTGTAACGAGTGAAAATTACATTTTGTGAAAATAATAAAAGTAGGTGTATTAAAGTTTAATAAATATTTTGGGATAAATTTATTTGAGTTTTAAAATCATTGTAATTTATTATTTAGTTTGTTTTTTTTTCCTTTGCTAAATAAAATATCTAGTTTTGTTTGTTTTTCTTTTGTTCAACTGAAATAGGGAGTGCCTTTTCCTAGCCAAGAAACCAATGCTATTGATGTAGTTATTCAATTTGCTATTCATCGCTTTGGGTTTATGCCCGAAAATATCATGATCTATGCCTGGTCTATAGGTGGGTTTCCTGCCTCTTGGGCAGCAATGAATTATCCAGATATCAAGGGTTTGGTAAGTACATTAATAAACTTAGTTTTGAGTTTCCAAAGTACAGTCTTCATATTAAACCCAGAACCAATTTCACACCACTTGTTTTGTAAACTAAATGTTTTCAGCTGTGCAAGACCATATCTCTGTAACTGTAATGATAACATGTATTAAGATTATACATTTTTATACAAAAGTGGGAAAAAGAGTATTAAGGGGGGGGGGTTTGTTTGTGATTAAGTAGTACTAAGCAATAATTGCTATTTTCATTGACTAATATGTATATGCCACTTGTTGGGCCAATCTCGGTGGCTGATGTGCTGGACTGTGGAACTGAGGTTCTATGGTTCACCAACCACAGCTTGGTAGTTGATGTGCTAGACTGTGGAACTGAGGTTCTATGGTTCACCAACCACAGCTTGGTGGCTGATGTGCTGGACTGTGGAACTGAGGTTCTATGGTTCACCAACCACAGCTCAGTGCCTGATGTGCTGGACTGTGGAACTGAGGTTCTAATGTTCACCAACCACAGCTCGGTGGTTGATGTGATGCGCTGTGGAATTGAGGTTCTGTGCTTCACGTCCTGTAAATGGAAAGAAAAAGCTGTGCACTTTGGGCCCCATTAGTGTGTTATAAGAGTGATTGTCAAATCCCATTATTCATTCTGACAAGTTGTAACTTGAAGCCTTCCATTTAGTCCAGAGGTACCCAATGTGCAGCCTTTCCTAAAAAACATCAATGCATGTTGAATATGGCCCACCTTATTCAACCTGTGTTCAGTATCGACATTCACGAATGAAAAAGGAGAATTTGTGACTGAGCTTTCTGGTAATGACTGGTTGTGGGTTCTTGCAAGACTCACAGACTTAGCAGAACAGTTAAACATCTTAAATAAGAAGCTTAAAGGGATGAGAATACTAACAAATGATGTGTATAGTGAAGTTAAAGCTTTAAACTGAAACTGTTCAAGCAACAGCTAGAGAAGTGCTCAGTGCAACATTTTGTCTAGTACACCAAACTATAGATCCTTATGAAACACATCATTAATCAATTAGGTGTGCCAAGATTAACTTCAGTGAGAGATTTTCTGATTTCTCTGCACATTCAAAAAAGACATTCATTTTGTTCAAAAACCCTTTTGCAGTGGATTTAAATGATGTAAAAATAAATGTACAATTGGAAAGAATCAAACTGGAATGCAGTACTGTGTTGAAAGACAAATTCACTGAAGATAATTCAGAGGGTTTTTTTATAAGTTTGTATCCGTTAAACAATTCCCTGGTCTCTTGAAACTTGCTTGGTGATTTGTATATATATGTTCAGAAGCACTTATACCTGCGAAGCAACGTTTTCAAAGATAAAGTATTTTTTAAGCCCACGTGACAAATGCATGTCTCCATGCAGTAATTATCTTTGGTGTAGCCAAGCTTACACCTAACTTTGACATGCTCTAAGTAGACAGGAAAGCACAGATGTTCCACTGAATTGGTAAGTACTAACTTTTTATCACTGATCCGCAAATGTAAAACATGTAAGTGATGTGGTCAACATGTACCCCTGGGCTAGTTTATCACTTCAAAAGTAACAATGGCTAGCTCAGATAGTCCTTGTGTAGCTCTGTGCAAAATTATACAAACAAATATACCACTCTCTATACAGTACATGTGATAAACTCTTTCTTTAAGCTCCTTAAGTACATATTGAAAAGCAATCCTAACTTATTTATTTCCAGCCAACTTGTCATTATTGATTTAATTTGTATGTGGATAAGCCATAAAAATTTTCATGTTGTGTTGATTTTGAGTGAGAAGAATTCTTAAGTTCAAAGTTTTTAACTACAACTCTCTCTCTCTCTCTCAGTGTTTAATTTGTCAAGGAGTAAATCATTAAATATGTAAAATAGAACATCTGATTTTTCTCTTCTTTATACTTCCAGATACTGGATGCTACATTTGATGACATACTTCCCTTAGCCAAAGCCAGAATGCCACCTAGTTGGGGTGAGTTAGGAAACAAAAGTTCAAATGTTTCGTTTTATTTTCACCAATAACATCCACTAGTTTAACAGAGATATTTTACTAAATTTTGTCTTTTGGAGTAAGGTATCAACTTGTTAGTTGGTTTAATTTTTATAGTAATAGATACTTAAAACTTATATTTCTTTGGATTGTTTTCTTTAAAATCAGTTCAGTTTTAGTTGAAAAATAATTTTTTAACTTACCTGATTCATTACAGAAGACTGTTTTGTACCACATGTTAGAAAGCTACTCCTATTACACAATCCTGTGAATTTAAACTTCATAAAAGTTGTTTTAGTTTTAATAACTGATTTTCCATAATTCAGCTATGCAGATTTTGAAAAATAATATTAATTTTTTTCTATCACGTAAGGATTTTTTACAAATTGAGAAGAAAACAAACTCTTACTTAGATCAAATTATCATTTCGTTTACAACAATGAACAATTATTATTATTATTATTGTTAACGAAAATACAACAAACAAACTGAAGAAAATGGAAGAATATTGATGTCCTGATTTTTTTTTGTTGTTGTTAAATCTACATATTTTAGTCTCAAAACTACATATTGTGGTCTTTGTTTTATGTATTGCATTATGACGTTTTGTGAGGAATCTGTATGTGATTGATAAAAATAGATGTCATTTTCGGATTCGACATACAGGAATTACTGTCGAACATGTAAAAATTTCAAGACAATAAAACCATTGTAGGCCCATGTTATCTATGTAAAAAAAAACATTGATGGCTTAGCAGTAAGTCTGAAGGCTTATAATGCTAAAAATCAGGTTTTGATACCTGCGGTGGCAGGGAACGACAGGTCATTGTTTAACCTGATGCCTAACAAACGAACAAAAACTCTTCAAAAATTTATTTTGTTTAATAACGAGCTAAATAAAAAAATCAAGAATATATAATAACAAATATAAATATTGTGCTGAGGAAAGCTTTAGCATTTTAATGTTTTAATAAAATTTAACTACAATTTATCAGTGTCTGTGCTTATATTTTTATTGTTATTTACAGGTCCATTAGTTGGAAGAACAATTAGGAACTACATGAACTTAAATAATGCAGAACAGGTTATCAGGTTAGTGAAAAATGAGTAGTAGTCCAGAAGGAGTTTATTCCACACTTCTTTCACAAAGGAGGAAGGGTACTTCCTACTATGTTTATACTTCCCTTAGAGAGGGTAACTTTTTCCTGTGTCAGATAACTCACAAGAAGGTAAAAGAATAGGTTCACACTTCTCATGAACATTCCAGTTCTTATAAAGAAATGAGGGTTGTTTCTGGTAAAAAA